GCCAGTTCCTTCAGGACCCGTGGATGTATCTCATCAGGTCCCATGGACTTGTGCACCTTCAGGTTCTCTAGGTGTTCCCGGACCTGATCTGCTCCTACCCTGGGTGGTTCTTCACTCTCCCAGATTCAGCCAACATCCTCTGTGATTTGGGTGGTGTGGTTCGAGTGGTTGCCAGTGAAGACTGAGGCAAAAAAGTTGTTGAATATTTCAGCCTTCTCCATGTCCTCAGTAAACAGGTCACCTGTATCCTTCCAGAGGGGCCCCACATTCCCTCTCGTTTTTGTTTTTTCTCTCACATACCTATAAAATCCTTTTCTGTTATTTCTAATATTGCTGGCCAGATTTGACTCTGTCAGGGCCTTAGCTTTTCTAACCTGGTCTCTGAGTACACGAGCAACTTCCTTGTACTCATCCCAGGTTACCAGTCCCTGCTTCTATGCTTCGTGTATTCCCCTTTTGTATTTGATTTTAGCCAGGAGTTCTTTGTTTATCCATATAGGTCTCCTGGTGGTTTTGCCTGATTTCTTCCTTTTGGGATGCAATGCCTTTGAACTTGGAGGAGATGATCCTTGAAAGTCAACCAGCAATCTTGGGCTCCCAGTCCCTCCAGGGCTTTATCCCATGGCACATGACCAAGGAGGTTCCTGAAGCAGCAAAAGTCAGCTCTTCTGAAATCGAGGGTTTCAAGCTTGCTGAGCTTCCCCCTCTTAGCTGCCTTTAGGATCTCAAACTCCACTATCTCATGGTCACTGGAGCCAAGGCTACCCATGAGTTCAACATTACCTACCAGTCCTTCCCCATTGACGAGAACGGGGTCTAACATGGCACCTGTCCTTATTGGTTCCTCTATCACTTGGATAAGGAAGTTATCGTTAATGCATTCCAGGAATCGCCTGGATTGCTTGTTCCCCGCTGTGTTGTTTTTCGAACTGATATCAGGGTGGTTAAAATCCCCCATGAGGACCAGGGCTTGTGAACGAGCAGCAACTCCTATCTGCCTATGTAGGGCCTCATCCCCTTGGTCTTCCTGATTGGGTGGTCTGTAGCAGACTCCCACTGTGCTGACAAGTTATCACGATATCTAAGTTATCATGATATCTAAGTCGTTCAATACATCAGATAAAAAACACTAGTGAAGTTTGGAGACAGGATACTTTATAATAACCTATGACATCGTGTTCTATTCTTAACAAACCAGAATGTTTAACTCAGATTAATTATTCACACTTTCAGAATTCTTAAACTGTAAGCTTGTTTTCATAGTGCTTACAAAATGTTAGCACATTAATTAATTTCAGCGTTTCAGTATAAAAGCCACTAGAAAAATCAAAAGGGCAAAAGAATTTGAGCAGAATAATTTTTTTTTACCATTTCTGCCATTTAAATTTTCCTCTGGCTTAACAATTTTATTTATCCTTTAAAATTTTCTACACAAAATATGTAATTGTGCACATGACATGCAGAGATTTCCAACAGTTTAGCTTGTATTATTTTTAAAAGTTGCCAAATTAAGAGAAACTTTGGAAATTTACTGACAAAATTACTCACAAAAATCATAAATAGATGGCAAATCACTGCTTCATTGATTATCACTATGAGCTGATCAAAACTCATAACTGTTGGCTCCTTAAACTGTGACTACCAAAGAGGCTAAATTTCAACACGGAACCTACTATGGTTAGTAGAGCTTCCCCAGAAGTGTCCGTAAACATAAAATAGCTTATGAGCTCTGGCTGCTCTTTGATCAAGACTTTTGATTACTGCTAAATTAGATTAGTTTTGAAGTGACATCATAAAAACAAAAAGCCCTAATGATACATTACCTGCTTCCTCCTATGTATTACAGTTCCTACTAAGAGATGTTTGAATAAGTACAATAAAAATAAGAATAGATAACCAAAGCAAGTACAAAAGCAAATTTCATGAGGAGTTCTGGCCAAAAATTTCATAAACCCATTCTTAAGTATTTGCTTTGAGTTTGTGCAAGAGAATTGTAATGATCATTTTTAACAGAAATCACCAGTTAGAAAATAATTCAATACAAATGCTAATAATATGCATTTCATTGAGAAGTCCCATATCTAAGGTTGATAGCCTCAATCTGCATTATTCCTTAAAAATCTTAATGTTCATAATTCTGACAATGCTCAAAGGAGCACTACAGTAAAATAAATTCAAAGAGAATAGACAAGAAAAAACAGATTACTCTTAAAAAGCTATGTTTTTTATAAAATTGATTTTGTCATGTATAACTGTTTGATGAACTGTTGATGCATAGTTAGTGACAATAATGCCAGTAAGATTTCCTTCCAGACTGCTTTCCATTTTTACATACTATTATACTGATGAACAATTTGAGATCCAGAACTACAGAAAATACTCAAATCTCTCTCAAATAGCAAAGAATACCTAACAGTACTGCTACAAATACCTAAATCAGACTGTTGAGTATGTTATATTGTTAAATATAACTAGGTAAGAGTAGATCTATGCAGATCAGTTCCTCAAATAATTACTCTCTTGTCTTCCCATAATTGATTGTCTCTCTCAAATTTTGGTCAGAAAGTAAAGTAGGCAGAAAATACAGGAAACAATGAGAAATAGTTTCAAGTTCTCATGAGATTCTCAAGGTTGGGAATTCTCTCAATGCAGTGCAAGTTCAAAAATCACAGGCAGACAGCATCAAGGGTTGAATTCACGCTCCTGGTTTTACCTTGGCTCAAGAAGGCAGAGAACAATGAGAGAGGAACAGGATAGAGTGAGGAAATCATAATGCCTTCCCTCTGCCTGCCTGCCTGTCAGCATGACGTGACCTAAAGTTTCTGACTTGCCATAGTTAATTGTCCTCTGTCAAATCTGGACAGAATCAGCCAGCTGGTTACAAAATTCTCAGAGAAATCACAAATACTTATCTGTGCACTTGTCTTCACTCCCTTAAGAAAACAGCTTTACCAAACAGCAGTTTTTGGGAAAAAAAAAAAAAAGAGCTAAAAGGAAAAATCATACCCCATTTGAGTAATTACTAGAGGGGACATGAAGAACATGAAAATCCAGTATGTCCAAAGGCACTCAGTTTTGTAGTATTTGCTCACTGGAACTGTATCCACTTGATGGTAGTTTCCTTACTTGCATTAAATTAACATATTAGTATATCCAATTTCTATCTGAATCATGTAACTTTAACAGAAATCTCTTAAACGTTGCCATATTTCAAGACTACGTCCTTTCGCAGGGGTTAGAGTGCAATTCCCATCCATTTGTACACGCTTCTTAAATGCTTCAAAGGAGAGGTGGAGTGGAAAACGGAATGAATAAGTGTGTTGGATCTATGTTGACTGGAAGCCTGAGCAGATCAGACAATTCCATCTTGTCCTCCTGACAAAAGGATTTTTAGGAATTCACTCTAATGGCTCTGCCCAGCATCACACAGGCATGCCTGGACTCCTTAGCTTGATCACGGAAGCAGTGGATGGGATGAAACCAGAATATTTTAATTTTGCTCAAGGGAGGTCTTGTTACAACAAAGTTGAGAGTCAAGACATACATGTTTTCCATCACCCTACATTATTCTGGTGTGGTGAAGAGATGGTGGTAATGCAACCACTCAGTTATCTATTTTACACGGAAACAAAAGACCCAGACGAGGCAAATTAGTTGCTGATTTTGCACGCCCTACTAGCACGATATTCACTTCTCAAAACATTAATTTTAAAGCGTCAGCAAATATGAGGCACTTATGTAACTGGACTTCTAAAAGTATTCAATTGCTTAATCTATATATTTATCACCTTGAAAACGTGTTTCACATGGGCAAAATCAAAAGACATTTGGAGTTTTTTAAGTAACTGCATTGTGTCGTCCAAATCAATCTTTCCATTCCTGAACTCATTCTGAATGATGGACAAAAACCACGTATAAAAGATCAGGTCAAGGAAACTTCTGGCCCATGTCATTGCCTTCTAATAGAGAGAGAAGTTTAATTTTTTAAACCTAAAAAGCTTGTGCTTAGCTTTTCTCGTACTCTAGAACATCCATATCTTCTGACTTCTGATAAGGGTGAAGGAAGGGGAGCAGTGGGAGGAGGCAGATGTGGGGAGGCCGAGGGGATCCAGCAGTGTGGGGCACGGAGGGAAGAGGAGTGCCAATAACAAGCGGTGATGAGGAGACGGCACCTGGCACTGCATCCCCCACCATCCAGCCCCAACTGGCCCCACCTGGGCCAGGACAGGCCACCCTGGGCCACCTGGCCCAGCCCCTCCCTACCGCCCCGCTGGGCTTCCAGCCAGCCTGGCCCCGGGAAAGGCGCCTGCAGAGCTGGTCATGACAGCAGCAACCACAGGGCAGGGAAAGGAGAGGAGAGGAGAGGATAAAGTAGAGCAGGAAAAGGATATCTGTTCTCCTCCATGGTGTTTCTGCGTCCCCTGCTCCGGTCTTCGCTGCGGTGTTGTGGCAGCAGTTGATGGGACACCACCCTGGCTTGCTGTAGTTGGTGCTCCTCCTCCTCCTCTGCCCAACCTGTGCCCCTGCCGGGACACAAGTGTCCTCTGGGCACAGCTCCCACCCTCAGCACCCCGGTGGCATTTCCAGGTGCCTCTGTGAGGTCACAGCCCGCGGGCCCCTGGCATGGATTCATAGAATCATGGAATGGTTTGGGTTGGAAGGGACCTCAAAGATCACCTAGTTCCAAGCCCTCTTCCATGGGCAGGGACACTCTCCACTACAACAGGATGCCCAAAGTCTCATCCTACCTGTCCTTGAACACTTCCAGGGATGGGGCATCCACAGCTTCTCTGGGCAACCTGTTCCAATACCTCACCACCCTCTGAGTGAAAAATTTCTTCCTTAGATCTAATCGAAATCTCCCCTCTTTCAGTTTAAAGCCATCGCCCCTTGTCCTATTGCTACATGCCCTTTTAAAAAGTCCCTCTCCAGCTTTCTTGTAGACCTCCTTTAAGTACTGGAAGGCTGCAATAAGATCATGTCTGAGCCTTCTCTTCTCCAGGCTGAACAGCCCAACTTTCTCAGCCTGTCTCCCTAGGAGAGGTGCTCCAGCCCTCAGATCATCTTCGTGGCCCTCCTCTGGACCCACTCCAGCAGCTCCATGTCCTTCTTATGTTGGAGGCCCCAGAGCTGAACGCAGTATTCCAGGTGGGGTCTCACCAGAGCAGAGCAGAGGGGCAGAATCACCTCCCTCGACGTGCTGACCACGCTGCTTTGGATGCAGCCCAGGATATTGTTGGCTTTCTGGGCTGCCAGAGCACATTGTCAGCTCATGTTGAGCTTCTCATCCACCAGCACTCCCAAGTCCTTCTCCTCTGGGCTGCTCTCAATCCATTCTCCACCCAGCCTGTACTTGTGCTTGGGATTGCCCTGACCCACGTGCAGGACCTTGCACTTGGCCTTGTTGAACTTCATGAGGTTCTCACAGGTCCACCTCTCCAGCCTGTCAAGGTCCCTCTGGATGGCATCCCTTCCCTCCAGCGTGTCCACAACACCACACAGCTTGGTGTCATCTGCAAACGTGCTGAGGGTGCACTCAATCCCCTTCCTGCCGTTGCTCCCCGCCACGCCGCCATCCTCTGCTGCTTCCCTCCGGCACAGAGCAGCCCTGCCTTCGCCGGCGGTCTCCCACTCTTCGATAGCCCTCACCCCCAGCATGTGCACAAGGCAGGAGCTGCACCAGCCAGGAAAGCTGTCTCTCATTCCCAGCCTGCTGCGACAGTCTCCTCCTGTGGAGTTCAGCCGGGCTGCCCAAGATCCCTCTGTTCTCACCCCAGACGATGCGCTGGCGAGGCAGGAGGCTGCCAACATGAGGGTCTGGCACAACCAGAACAACTTCTCCCCTATCTGAAGGAACAAGCACACCCGGACTGGACTTTTGCTCTACCACTCAGGTTACCCGGACCTTTCTCCTCCAGATACACTGCTTCAAAGATGCCAACCTCCACGTGACTGTCAGTAAATCTGTGAGCCAGGCTCCAAATGTGATAGACCAAAGTCAGTTTGTCACAGATTTTGTGAAAGCTGAGGGCACTAAGTTCCATATTGCCATTCTGGAAAACATTCAGGCTTTGTCAGAGGATATATGGGGCAGTAAGCCTGCGGAGGAAACTTCCTGTTACTTGCACTTTTGTGAACTGGAATAAGCTACTGAATGATCAATGTCTGAACACCGATGTCTGCAACACAGAAGAACCTCTATGCTCATTGAAACACACTATTTGATGTGGTGGCCTAAACAAACAAACAAAAAAAAAAAAAAAAAAAAAAAAATAGATAAAGTGTTTAGTTGCATTATTTCTGGATTTCTCAAGAGGGTGCAGAAACTGTCATCAGTCAGTCACCGCTTGGAAAATAATTCAGGTCTGTAGACACTGAAAAATAATTTGCTGTGTTTTTTAGTTTTCTTCCTGTACTTCTCAACTGCTTCTAGAGGTACTAGTGATAGCCACTGTCAAAGGCAGTATGCCAGCAAGTAAACTCTTATTTTCCTTTATAATTCTACCCAACATCATGTTTAGTTACGTAGCTTCATACTATATGCAGCACTGGTGATAAGGAAATCAGTAAGGCAGGTTGGCAGAGATATTCAGGCCTTATTTGTAGATTTTTTTCATTGATACTGAAACCCAGGAAATTCCACCTTCAGGCTGTGCATACCTCTCTGTATGCACAGGAGACATCCCTAACAGATTCACAGGAACAAAAGGAGATCAGTACACAGGAGGAATAAATTTCTTATGGCTAGTGCAGAAGATATTTCATAACTGACTATGCTGGGTGTTGCAGCATCATGGATGAAAGCAATGCTGCTTCCCTTCTCTCAGTGCTTATTACAAATTCCAAAGGAATGTATGTGATTTTGGTTTATTTTCAAACTATGACAAACTGCAAAGCTTTGCTAACGTGTGTATTACAATGAATTAAATGCCTACCACATGCTGTTTTCTGTAAATATACCTTTTAATTAGAGTTTTATTAGAAATTAAGTTTAATTTCAAGCAGTAATGTAAACACTAAACTTTCTAAAAATATTGATGTGAACATTTAAATATTATTCTTACAAATATTAGATGTTTTTAATGTAAGCATAAGATTTTGCTTTTGTTCATCGCTGCTGCCAGCAATTACCTTGTCACATGGATTGAACACAATGTTTTGCAAAGGGCTTTATAGCTTCAGTGCTCAGAATGGCCATGATTGCTTTCATTGTCTTTGTTTTAAAATGTAGTAAAGAACTATGCATTGTTGTGCTTTGGAGGATAATCAACATTGAGCAGAAATGCCATCTTCAGATCACTCTTCTGATGCAAAATGAAGATTTTGCACCTGTACTCACACCTGATTTGGGAGGTTCCTTACCTTCTACATCCAGATAGGATAATTAATTATCCAGAGAAACAAATAACGAAAAGGTGTCTAATATCAAAAACATCATTCTACACCATTCCATATCGTTGATGACAGTCATATGTTTAATTTTTATTTATAAGCATACTAATTTACAAAGCTTTATTGCAGAAGACAAGGTTGTAGCATTGCTGATATTTGAATGAAACTGAAATAAATCAAAAAGATCCTTTGATATATACTGAATTTCTTCAGATTTGCGTTGACTAGAGTACATTTTTCATCAGTTTGTTCATCTTTATGGTAACTCAGCCCAAAGATTCTGGGAGTGTTGCACTAATTTATGTGCAGAAAGGCACTCATCATGCAGGGTTTCCTTCCTGCAAGCAGAAAGCAGACTGCTATCCTTGTAACAATGTCCCTGGACAATGCCTTGTACAGATGCCCATTTGTTAGAGAATCTGCGTCATGCACTTGAAGAGGGACAAGGATGGAGCATGGAGAGCATTTTCTGTGTTCCTTTGGTTCTTCCCAGAAAGCTGCATTACCTATGGGTCATTCTCTTTTCACCTCACAGCTGCTGCTGAGATCCATCCAACAACAGATCAGCCCTTTTAGTGCCTATGTTGCTGCTGGAGACCATTCAGTGAGCAAGCAGCTGTCTTTACATGGTATTTATTTGACTATGCTATTACTTTTTTATTGAAAATAAGGGTAATTTTATTAAAAATGTTATACAACCCAGGGCTGTTATAGTGAAGATGACCTCTTGTGAGTGTAGATCATGTCTGCAGTACAGAATAATAGATGAAATTTTGGACATATATTTATGCGTTAACAGAAACAGGGACATAGCAATAGAAATTCTGGATTGTGAAAAAAGCACTTCATTCAAACACAAATACTGAATATAAACTAATGATAAGAAACGATAAGGAACAATGGGAAAGACTAAGCAGTTAGATGACTTCCAATTTCAGCATTTATTCCACCAGATCAATCCCTTATGAGATGCAAATGTATGACATTTTGCAATATACTGTTCTGTAGAATTAAATTTTCTCTTCTTTAAAATGCAGTTTCTACACAGCAAAACTGTAGCAAGGAGCGCAATAATAAAAACATTTAATATTGTGGGATTAGGTAGTTTTCCTATCTTTGCTATCAGTCTACCTTTATGAACTTTCCATTTTCCTTCAGTTTCCTTTCTCTATAAAAGAAGGAATCTGTGGTACCAGAACCTGCAACAAAAGCTGCTCGGAGAGATGCAGTTTGGACACAGTAAACATTCTGATCTGTCTGAAAATGCTTCCTCAGTTTTTGCAAGGCCTATGAAATTAATCTGGAAAAGGTAATTACAATACAGGCTCTGTCAATTTTCCCTCTACATTCTCCACGATGGGCTTGGAATTTTTTCTTTTTTCTTTTGGAAAGTCGAAACCTGGGGAGGAATAAACATTATTGTCAGAAAGCAAAGGTGTATAACTCCATTGAAAACGTTAGTGAACTTTTACATATACACTTTTGTGATTTTTAATATGTTTAAGATTTAGTTGCAACTTCTTACTCTTTTGCCCATACCAGAATTTTTTATTATATATGGAATACATTCCCACTCACATTATCTTTATTCCTAAAATCTCCATCCCTTTCTGCCTGCTGCTTTGAAAATCATTCACATGCCTACAGCTACCTGTGAATCCACCTCTTTTTATTGGCATCAGTATCCCATGTTTTAAGAAATGAAGAATAGGCACAAATATAACGAAAACAAAAATTGAAGTTGTCAAACTCTCTCTTATAATAGGTTTCTTCTGCAGCCAGGAGTACAGCATACCTAGAATTGAAGCTATATCTACCTGTTTAAAATCATGACTATCTTCTGTTAAAGACTTGAATTGTGCCTGCAAAAATACATTATCATCAAGTGTCTTTCTGTAATATGCTTCCAATACTGCTTTCTCCTTCTTCTTATCTTTCATTGTTACTGAGTGGCCATGATTATTTATCTCAAGGAGAAGATCAGCTACTTTATCAGTTCAGAAAATTTACACG